CCCCAAAACCCCAAAACCCCAAAACCCCAAAACCCCTCTCTCACCCCAAAACTTGAACTTTTCAACCCCTTTAACACTTTCTTAACAACTCTTTCCCCCATCTGCATTAGTATAGGCCAATCTCCACCACTCCGCTCTCTCTGTCACCCCTTTACATGCATTTATATACTGCAAATATCTGTCATAGACTTGGAGGTCATCATGACCGAGAGCTCCCATTGCTCGCTCAGGGAAAGGTAGGATTTGGGTCAGGAGGATTACACAGGGGAGGGGTATGTCCTTGCGAAGAGATTTTAGGGACTTGTTGATCAGTTTTTTGAGTTTGGAGTAAGAGTCTCGACCAAGAGCAGGGATGAAGAAGCTACTGTTGGTGTTCATTTTAGTGTAGAAGTTTAGGAGGAGCAGTTTGGAGAAAATTTTGTGGACAGAGGTGTCTGAGATGGTATGGAGGAAGGAGGTGAAGGTAGAGAGGCAGTAATTGTCATGATAGGCGAAGGACATATCTTTGAAAATGAAAGATTGGAGATCGAGGAATCCTTGGTCGCCACCTTCTTCGTATTCGCTGAGAGTTTTGGCTGCTTTGTTTGCGAGGAATGAAGCTCTTTGAGCAAATAGTTTTAATAGTTCATCAATGTTTTCAAAATTTCCGGTGAAGGTTGGGTGGGTAGTCTGGTTTAGTGAAAGATATTCAAGAGCCTCTGGTAGTTTCTTTCCTTTAGCAGCTTTTCTAATTCCATTCAAAATAATTTTTTGGTTTTGCATCGCTAAGACATGACTGTCTCATTCCCAAGTTGCATGCAAATCATTATAATTCAAAAGACCACTAAATAATGCATAGTAAGAATATCCATGTCCTCCACAAGCTTTACGAGTTTCATCGATTGTGCTTTGAGAAGACCAAGAGATAAAAGCTTTCATACTTGAAGATAGAGCATGACAAACTTCTGTCTGTGGATTATCTTCATCTAATAATTTTGGAAGATTCACACTCCACATCTTCACTAATCTATTAGCTCCAACGAAATGCACCAAATACTCAGCAAAGCGAGTAATTAATCTGTATTGATGCAATGGGTAATCTAGAAGAAGAGTTTCTTCTTGAGAAGATCCAAACTGCCTTCTTACAGCAGCTTATCTAATTGCAATACTGAGTGCTTGAAGTCTATATTCTGAAGATAGTCTTGAGATAAAGACTCTTCCTCCAGATAAGCTAGCCATAGAATTGCCAAATCTTTTTCCTTCACTTTCAATTGTAGTTTTATATTGACCATCCTCAGTTCCATCAGAAAATTTGTTGAGGAGTGATTCCCTTGAAATTCTATAATCTTCAAACTTTATCCAGCCATTGTCAATTCCATTAAGGCCCTTCTTGTGTCCTCAGTCAGCAATTTCGATTCCTGGGAAGGGAGTATGGGTTATCCTATCTCTGATTGGAAGAACGAAAGCATGAACTCCTTTCCTCACTTTTTCTCCATTCTCATTAACGTAGAGTTGGGCAAAGATCACAGCATTATGAGCACTTTTGGCTAAAGCCCCTATCCAAAATTTAATAGCGGTCTTTGTCGGAGAGTTTAATATAAACTCTTTAGTCATCTTGTCATATGTAGCAGTGATTTCAATGCCTCTAACATTAGATCCATGACCCATCTCTGTGAGTCCGAAGCATCCAAGAGTTTTAAGTGCACATCCATCAAGAAGCTCTCGGTGATGTCTTTCAGTCCCTAAATTCTTAATAGTCTTTTCAATAGAGCCCATACTTGACTAAGTATCTTGTGAGAGTAGCAAAGTTGAAAGCTCCAACAGAGATAATACCTACAGTGAAGGCATCGATATTTTCAGCAATTCTTTCAGGTGATGTAAATCCTTTTTCAAACATCTTGTTGGTCAACCTGATGATAAATTCATTAGAGTCTTTACTTAAAGTATCTTTTTCAAATTTTGATAAAGAAGGATCTGGTATCCCGTGGAGTTCTGAGATACATTCAAATGTTTCAAAGTAACTAGGTGGTAGGGTGTCCCACAGACACTCTTGTGCCTTTGCTAGATTTAAAGTTGAAGTAGATAATTCTCTTTTTAAGTCTTTGCTAGCTTTGAAATGTCCTTTAAGCAAATTTAGTCTCTTTAATGCAATTTGGTAACTCGTATTTGATAATGATACTTTAAATTATAAATTAGAAAATAGGGGTTTTGGGGTTTTGGGGTTTTGGGG